GTTGGTTCCAGCTGCAGGGACCAGCTGGGACACCAAGGCCACCACTTGAGGCTGAGAGATTTGCAAATCCTGTCCTGTAATCCTCCGCTAACCAAACAAATCCCATTTGCATGTTCCCCCAGGGCACACAGAGCCCCAGGACCAGGGCACCGTGTCCTTTTGTGCTGTCACCCTAAAAGCCACAACAGCCCTGCACACTCAGGTACTTTGCTGTGCACAAACTGGGGGCAGCATCACCTTCCAGATAATTCAAAACTGTCTGACCCAAAGCTACAGGCCCTGTTTCTAAAGCAAACCAAGTGCAACCAGCCACTCACTCATCTGCTGAGATATGCAACAGCCTAGCAACAAATTATAAATCTGTTTTTTTCCCCAAACTTTGAACTGCCAAATACTGAGGGGAAAAAAAGAAAAAGCTCTCTGAATAGACACCATGAGATTATCACTCTTATGCCAGAAGCTACCAGACATGAGATGCAGAGACTATGAGAAACAGGAAACAGAACAGCAGGATTTTTATGGAAAACCATCCTTTTGATGTATTGCCCAGGCCCAGTGATGCTGCACTGGCACAGATGAATAAAGCCCCTGTGATGAGAAGGAATCATATGTTCCCTGACAAGTAAACAAGCATTTGTTTTAAAATAAACCGGGGAAATATTTGCATGGCAAAATCAAGGGATGAAACCTCCATCTCAAGTCTCAGATGCTGAAAGGATCAGACAGTGATTTATGTTGCTGAGACCCAGCTAAGTCTGAGCACCCTGGCCTGAGCCAGCACTAAAGGTTTGCTTGCTTTGGCATCCTCCAGGGAGTTCAGGGAAAAACAGCAGTGCTGACAAAATTCCCATATGCACAAGTGTCATTTGACAGCTCAGCAGCACAGAACAACTCCCAGCTCACAGGGCAGGAAGGTGAGCTGCAAGGATTTGATTTCCACTGCATTTCACCTGGGCAGATGGAAAAATGTAAAGGCCTCAACAGCACGGTGGGAATTAGGGGTGCAGTAATTGCTGAAGACTGTGAGAACCACAAAACATGATAAATATCCACAGTCTTACAGCACCAGCCCAGGAATGCACAGATCCCAACATCCTGTTTCTGACTGAGGCCAATAAAAGACATCTTATTTTATAAGATCAAAAAACTGATGCCATCATCAGGAACTGCCACAAGAAATACAGGGATATTGTAGCTCATTACTAGAATGGATTAATTTAAAGAAAACCCTGAAATATTGCTGCAAGAGTTCATTTTACCCATTTTGAGTGCACAAGGCACTTCCTGCTGGTCAGGAGAAAGTTTAGGATGTACAACTTCAAGATGTTATTGGCCAAATACTCATAAAAAAAACCCACTGCTTTTCAAAATAGTGTTTAAATACAACACAGCTCACGGAGTAAATTCCTCCATCTTTACAGAGATCAGCAAATCTAAGAGCAGATTCATTGCAGAAAAGAATTCTTCCAATTTGATAACAAATAATGTATAAAAATCTTACCTTTTCTAATTTACTTTTAAGTCTTCTTTCCTCCATCCTTTTCTTCAGAATTTCCACATCTTCTTTATTACCATTAAGGACAATCACATCCTCCTCTTGAAAGGGAGTGCCACACTTATGAAAGAAAAGAAAGGACTAAATTGCATTTCTATTTTTCTGTCTCCTATAAAAAACACTCTGAACCAATTCTTTTATTCATTTATGTATTTTCTGTTCACGGGGTCCTTGCTTTACTGGCACAAAGGTACTTAAAAGTATTCTTAGAACCTACTCAATTTTCTGAACCCCACAGCTAAAACCCAAAAGTATTTTCTGATTTTTAATTATGAATGCATTTGATTAAGATCCTTATGCCATTCAGCTCTAGAATTTGTCTTTCAACTCAGTGAGATAAGAAACAACAACTGATGGGAGCAGCTCCTTTGCACAGAGCAGGGACAACACCAAAGCTGTTACTCCTCTACATCTGGAACAAACAGCACATTTTTCTCCTCAGCTGGGAGACAGGAAAACATGAAGGTGGGTTTTTTTACTTATTATTATATTTTTTTTAAATTTTACGGTGGGGATAAAAAGGGGTCATAAAAGCAGAATAACTCCTTACCCCAGCCTTGCTGCCTCACTGGATTGTATCACAGGGACTGCCCTTATCTGATTCATCAAACACTCCCAAGTTTCCAACTACTTTCATAAATTAATCTGGATAATGGCTGTAATGTGCTCTGTGTACTTCCACATTTGTTTCATACTTGAAGGCACAGATGTTTCCCTGTGCACATTTGCAATCATTTGATGTAGCAGCACACTCACCATGATGTTTTCTTGTCTAAGGTCTCAATTTGCTTTTTTTTTTGGTTGGTGTTTTTCTTTTTTATCTTTTTTTCTTTGGTTGGTTTTGGGATGGGTGTTTTTGGTTATTTTGTTAAATGCAGAAGCTTTCTATTAATCTGCAAGATTAATTTATAATCATGCCTCTGCCATTTTTTTCTAAAAAAACTCTTCTTTTTTCTAAACAAAGGTTTAGAAAGGTTACTCCTGTATTTGCAGTAGGAATTAAACAAATGAAAGGACATATGGGCAGGACTTTGCTCCAGTGCTGAGCACAGCTCTGGAACTAAAACTGAACCTGAACCCAAGTGGTGGGAGATTGAGAGGAGACACAGGGGTCAGGGAGAGGCACAGGACAGCAGGCAGGAAGAGGAAAGGCACACACAAGAAAAGGAAGAGTAGCCCAGATTTTCCATTTCTACTCAATGAGAAATCCCAGCCTGGTGTGATCTCACACTTGGGAGTGAGAAAGCTCCAAAATCAAGAATTTCAGTCTTCATTCTGAGGCAGGAGCTGGCAGCTGCCTTGATTCTAAAGAAGCCCCACAGATCCATTTCTAGAAGTCCCACAATTTCTTCTCTAGGGTGTTTCCTAATACAACATGTTTCAAACATATTTTGTCAGTAGACTCTATAATTTCATTAAATGTTGCATTTTAAAAGAGCAAGCAAATCCAGGTTCCCATCTGGAAAATACAAGTGGAATTGTTCAAAACTGAAAAGTATTTACAAGAAACAAGGAAATTAAGACAGTGTTCTTTCCATTCCCTGAAACAGAAAATTTTTTGCTATGACAACATTGGATTATCTCAGAGACCATACCCTTCCAAACATCTTAATGAGATAAAAAGCAGGAAGAAGTTTCAGTTTTGCAAATTCAGATGAAGGACAGATGTTCTGTCCTTCAGATTAATTAAGGTCTCGGGGCAGATGTTTGTTTTATGGTATCACGGGGTCTCCTCTGCTGTACCTTGTTTATCTTGGGCCTTTAAATACAGATGAAGGTACTTCCTGTAGTTCTTAGTACCTTGAATAGAGGACATTTCTAAATGATGTAGCTCTTATCTTTCTTAAAGTATAAAATACAGGATTTTTAAAGTAGCAATGAACCCTTAATTTAAGGTGACTTCCTGAGTTCTAGAGTTCACAGTTTCAGCTGCCTAAGACAAGAGTTGTACATTATTTATTGCTGTAAAATACATTGAGACATTATTTTTTTTAATAGCATCCAAAATGTAATTCTGTGCATGAATACTCCAGTCTTAATGTAATACAAATGAACAACAGGCAAATATATTTTCATATCTAAATGTTTACACCAGTGTTACAGTTTAATGTTTTCAGAGAAACCTAAAGGCTCTTTCCCAAATTTTACCAGTGAATTCCTGCAGTTCTCCTGAACATGACCATTACTAGGAAATGCACAATTCCCACCAGGATGTGGGACATGGATGGCCACAACCTGAGTGTCCCTCTTTCAACAGGGACATTTAGGGAGAGGATTGAACATCCTTGGACCATCTCACTGTTCATCTCCCAGCCACACGTGCTCATGTATTAAAGATTATTCTTGCCTGCCACAGTTAAGTAAAACCTGTTTTCAGAGAGTGAATTTTCCAGAGGTTTAGCCATTAAAAGTTCAGGAGTGTAAGATTTGCTGAACATGTTTTTTCACATTGTCACCCAAGCCAGACATACAATGGGTCAGAGAGTAAAGGACAACTTGGGAGCAGTGGAAATTTCCCAGCCAGTGATTCACAGAACATGAACTTTCACTCAGGAGCTGCAGCATCTACTTCCAACCCAGTCCAAGAAAAAAGCCTCAGTTTACAGAGTTTCTCTTAAAATCAGTGATAATTTTGTACCTGCCATACCTCTGCAGCTGTGCCTTAACTTTGAGGTTTTCTCTCCGTTTACTTCTGACTCACATGGTATTTTTATCAGAATGTGTCCTCCCAATCCCAGCACATTTAGGCTCAACTTTCCACTTTTTAAACCCCCTAAGAACCTTTAAAAGGCTGTGACAGCAAACACTGTGTGTGTGAAGGATGATTCAAATCCATCTGCTCCACAGCAGGTCCTGTAAAGCAAAGCACACCTTTATGGCAGCAGAAAACACGCAGGGGTTAACACCTCCTGCTTCATTTTATACAGACTTTTGTAATTTTACAGTGCTGGCTTTCTGCCCTTGTTTATTTGCTTATGTAAAAGTTACAGTTTTAAGGGCTGGGGCCTTACCCAACTTGTGGTTCCTTTATCTCATGGTTACAAACACGGCACACAGTTCTACCAAACGTATTCATCACACACACCTCACCGTACTGCTATGAGACTCATGTTCTTGTATTTATAGCTGTGCTTTATCATTATGTCCTTCTGTTTCCTATCCATTGCCACACAATCTGTTTTTCTAGTTTTTTGTATCAGTTCCTCTTATTTTCCTGGCCCAGCAGGGCTGGACCTTTGCTTACAGAAGTGTTCAGACACAGCAGTGACACTTAAGCCTCTTCCTTACCTCCTCACCCCACCAGGGCTGGACTCTATTTTGCAGAAGTGGCAGCAGTTACATCCAAATCCTTCCTGTTTTATTTCCTTGGCTTGATCCCTGCTTTGCAGAAGTGGTTACACTGCTAAGAGGCTCTCACGTTTAATTCTATCGCTAACTCATACCTTAATTCTTCCTAATTTACGCTAAAGCGCTTTTCCCAAGCGAGGTCTGTGCTTCAAGGAGATCTTTCGCGTATTCTCTTTCCAGCTTCCAGCCACTGGAAATGCCCGGCAGCAGCAATTCCCTGCTGGAATTGTCGCCTCGGAACTGGAAAGTTTCGGCAGGCGAATAGTTAAGGGGAGGAGGAGAAGGAGGAGGAGGAGGAGGAAGAGGAGGAGGCAGGCTCCCAGTTCTCCCAGTTCTGCCGGGCTCAGCAGCCGCAGCTCGGGGGCACCGGGGGAAGGCTGGGAGGGCACAGCAGCTCCTCCGCAATATTCCCCGCAATATTCCCCGCAATATTCCCCGCAATATTCCCCGCAGCCCCAGCCCGGCTCCCAGCCCTTCCCAGGCTGCCTGCAGAAGTTCCCCGGGAGCTGCAGGCGGATTCCTGCGGGATCCAATGCTGAGCGCTGCAGGGAGCGGGATGCAAACATTCCCGATTAATGGTTAACCTGCTCCGGGATAAGGGACACGGCTCTGCTGAAGGACAATGACACCCTGCCGTTCTCTTTATTATTATTATGCTGCCGTCTCCTGGCTAACTCTGGACGAGGTAAGGCTGCATCATTTGCATCGCAGCATTCCTTTTTCCCCTATGTAAAGCGACAATTTTACTTAGAAAACACTCCAATCTATAGTAAGGTTAATATTTTTTCCCCTTCTTTACCTTGTGACGGATACACAGAAGGATGGAGGTCATTACTGCTAATTGTTTGTATTATAAAAATAACGGTATTTATGCAAATTATTTTTTTTTCAGCTTTGTAACTTAAGGGTTGAAATAGTTTTCATTGTATTTGTTTTAAATTACTGTGAGGTCAAATACACATAAAAAAGTAACAGGAAAATAGCAAAGATGGACACTAAAACTTCATAAATTTGCTGTATATGTATCAGTAAATTGGAACGCAGTGTTTTTAAGAATGACTTAAATAACTGGGCTTGATGGAGAAATGCTTTTACTCAATGCAACTCAAAATCCAGTAGCAGGCTTCGTGTTCTGACCCCATTTAAACAAAAAAAAAGCACTTAAAAGAATTGATTTTAACACTTTTTTAAGGATTGAATTAGTCTTGTCCTGTTTATAAAATGTCTACATTAATTCCTGCATAAATAACTTTCAAACAAAAAAACATAGCTATGAAAAAAGTTGAAATAAGTATTCAATGCTTTTTCAGCATTTTATTAGAAGATGAAGCATTCCCAAGTCATTTGTCTCACTAAATTACGAGGTCATACGAAGCAAACTTTATCTAAACTTTAATATTAGGCAAAAGCAAAGATGACAGAGAAAACAGAATGTTTAGAGGTGCAGTGATGCAGTCCCTAAATGGCAGGGAGAAACAGCAAAAAGCAAAATGAGTTGTTACTACAAAATGCGCAGCCAAGTATGTGCTAATGGGGTCTCAATTAGCTGAGCTGACATTTCACAGCCTTTTTCCAGGCATCATCATAATTCCCCTTTCCTCTAGAGTTTACTTTGTTAATTCAGATGGAGCATTTTAGACTTACAACAATTTTCTATTAAAAGTAATATAATATCCTTAAAAGCATCCACAAAAGTGCTTGAAAACCCCTACTTTTATTTTTTTTTAATTTTTTTTTTCCCAAGAATGTCACACACTACTCGCAGGAGTTTTAAAAATTCATGCAACTTCATCCTCCAGATTTAGAAAACCTGTGCACAACATAGGAAATTCTGGGTTCCAGAGACATTCTACTAACAAAAAATACCTTTCACGGCACTCTTGCATAATAAGACTCAAGGGCAGGATATTCCCAGTGTTGGATTGGGTTATTATGGACATTCCCAATGGGAATCTCTTGCTCCTCAAGGAGGAAATTTGGGAGAATAATCTTTGCCAGCAGACAGGGCTGAGAGGATCCTGCTAAACCAACAAATTCCATATCCAGTGGCACTGCCAGCTGCAATTCCAGCTCGAAATCTGGTCAAACACTACCAAAAAGCCACTGCTTTTATTCCACAATATCCCCCCGAGGCTGAAAGATGTCAAATTCAGTTCTTGCAGGCCAGGCTCCATCATTCAGCTGTCCCCCATAAACGAGTTAACACTGGAGAGGAATTGCTGCCTCTTATGGGGTGTTTGTGTGTTTTAATGCTGCCATAAAAATACAGTTTCTAGATGTCACACAGTCCAGTAGGAAAAAATCCATAGTAAACACTTAATAGCCTGAAACAGCCCCAAAGCTATTATTTGAAGGGTAATAAAAATTCAGGTGTATGAAACAAGGAGGTTACAGCTCGAACTACACTTTGCAACCTGCCCTAAATGTATTCAAGGAAAAAAAACCTGCCAAGCATCCTCATTCTGGATGGATTCAGGGAATACTCAGAGCTGGAAGGGATCCACAAAGATCACTGAGTTCAATTCCCAAATAAATGATCTGTACAGGGACTGAACCCACAATCTTGGTGTTGTTTTATATTTAATCAGGTATAAAATCGCAAATATTTTTACAGCTGCCTGCTGGTTTTAGTTTAATTCTTATATTCAGAATGAACCTTCCCTGTGATATCCCAGAGATTTCGTGACGTTAATTCAGAGGAATCTCAGTGTTCCTCCTGTTAGTTATTCCCTCAGAATAGAGATTCTGTCCGAGTCCATCTGCACAGAAATCGGTGTTTCCCCAGTTCCAGCCCCTGGGTACGTACATTATGATCCTCACAGGAACCCTCTCTGGGCTTTGGCACAGGAGGCATTTCGTTTTTAATGCAAAAATCCTGCTTTTCACCTTGCAGTGGCATCCCTGCTCTCCTGCTTTCTGCACAGCATCCAAAGGTTGACAAGGACTTGATTTGCTGCAGCTTTTTGTTCAGATGGATGGAACGTTCCCATCAAGGTTGTTTACCCAGTAAATGGATCCCTGAGGAGCTCAAAGGCAAGAACACTCTCCTGGGAGCTGATTTCCTCATGTTTTTCTTGGAGCTGCTGAAAGAACATCCCAGGAAAATGGATGAGCCCTCCACCTAACACAGAGCTCTCCTTTTGGGAATGCTCAGTGGAAAAGAGGCACCATTCCAGCATGAAATCCAGTGCTTACCAGTAAGGACCAAAGGATAAATACATTCCTTCCCAACAGCCCAATAAAATCTCAAAAAGGTGGGAATATGGAGGATCCCTTCCCTCGGTTCAATCTGTGTTCTTAATGCTTTTTGAATTTTATGTCTCATTGCTGCTTTAACTACAATGCCCTCTTTATTTTCAAGCTTTTAAGGGAGGTGCTGATTTTTTATTAAAAAGAAATATTTTCCACTTCTTTCTAATGAAAACCTTGAGCTTCCCAACCACAGCAGCATTCCTCTAATGAAACTACCTTTATAAAAATCTATTTTTCTCCGTTCCTGTGTAAAGCCAAATACTTAATGATTTTGACAGCTGCAAAGTGTAAAATATTTCAAGGTGAAATTCAAATTTTGTTTAAAACAATCACTGACTAAAAGAAGAGAAAATTAATTACCTTTAAAATAAAATTTAAATCTTAAAAAATTTAACTGTTAAGCTAAACATTGGTATTTTTCTCTAGGAATTTTGATACCAAGTGCTTCAAGGATAAAGACTTCATGTAATTGCTGCAGGATTCAGGACTGGCTGCACTCTCATTCCTCTGAGTGTTCAACAAGGTAAGGAAAAAACCAAAATGGAAAAACTCCTGTGCTAATACTGCTGTAAATTAGTTATCTCAGAATGCCAATACTGGCACATGGGTCCTTATTACCTCAGGGTATGCACAAGTACCAAAAATAAGAAATGAGTGTTGTCCCCTTGTTCAGTTTCCCAAAGTACAAATACAAAGATGTCAGAGGAAAAAAAAAATAAAATGTCAGAGTCAGAAACATTTGCTGACTTTATAAGGATAAAACCCAGAGTATTTTGTGGATTACGTTTTAGTCTCTTCCTTCTGTTTATTTAATAAATTTTCTGTTGATTTAATTTACTGAATTCTGATCCTCTGGCAGAACTTCAAGTTTCCCAGGCCTTGAGGAAATCTCAGCAGCAGCTGCTCCTCAGCACTCAGAGCTCGCTTCTTCCCTGGGGCCCTGGGCTCACCCAGCACCTCTGAGCGCAGGAAACTCCCACCTGAGGAGCTGAGCCCCCCCTTGGTCAAGCAGTGAAGAATTCAAAGCCATTTTGGGTTCTTTTGGAGATCATTTTGTCCTGGAAATGCAGAATTCCTGCCTCACGGCTCTGCATTCCCAGGGGCTGAGTGCTCTCAGTATGGGCACACTCGGTTCCTCCTGGTAGTAAACCAAACATTTATAAATGCAGCACTAACAAGGTGTCTATTTAAAAAAAAAGAAACAGAAAAATTCTCTCCCTCTATCTCACTTTTCCTTTCAGATGATCTGAATGTTTAATTGGACTATGATAAGAAGACAGGATCTGGAAATAAAAGATGAACCCACTTCATGCAAAGAAATCAAAATTTTTAGTGTGTGTTGCTGTCTGTATGTTCATCTACACCTTCATCTACCTAAAGGTTCCACTTTATGACGAGTCAAATGACCAAAAATTCCGTGGCAGAAGAGCAGAGTGTGGTTTTTACCCGGATGAAATTTGCTCAGCTCTTTTTGTGGGGAAACCTGCAGCCTCTAAAATTGGAAACTTTTGTCAGAAGTCCTACCAGCCCAAAGCCCTCAGCTGCATTCAGAGTTCCTGCAGCTGCTCCACAGTCCTGAAGACTCTACATTTTATCACCAGACCGCTTTCAGAGGAAGAAGGAAATTTCTCCTTGGCGTACATTATTACAATTCACAAGGAGCTGGAAATGTTTGTGAGGCTGCTAAGAGCTATTTATATGCCTCAGAATATTTACTGCATCCACATTGATGAAAAGTCACCCAGAGATTATAAAACTGCTGTACAGAACATCGTTAACTGCTTTGAAAATATTTTTATTTCCTCCAAAAGAGAACACGTTGTTTATGCAGGGTTTTCAAGATTACAAGCTGATATAAATTGCATGAGAGACCTCGTTAACTCCAAAGTTCAGTGGAATTATGTTATTAATCTGTGTGGTCAAGATTACCCCCTGAAAACAAATAAAGAAATCATACAATACATAAAAAGTAAGTGGAATGGGAAAAACATCACTCCTGGGATAGTGCAACCCCTTCATGTGAAACACAGGACAGAGGTCAGCTACAGGGAGTACGTCCATTCTGGGGTGCCCTACGTGTACCCAGCAAAGATCAGGAAAGCTCAGCCTCCACATAACCTCACCATCTATTTTGGCAGTGCCTATTACATCCTCACTAAGGACTTTGTGGAGTTCACGCTGAGCGATGCCCGCGCCAAAGCTCTGCTGGAGTGGTCGAGGGACACCTACAGCCCTGATGAGCACTACTGGGTCACCCTCAATCGTTTACCTGGTAAGAGTTTGGCATTTCTGCCCCAAAAAACCCCAGCAGAGCAGGGCTCAGGCAGGGAGAGGCTTTGAGCTCCAGCTCGGAGCTGAACAGCTCTGAATTGCAGAAATAAAGTCATTTCTTCAGCTTTGGTGCTGCCCTTTTGTAAAGTCACTTCTGGTGGCTGAGAAACAAAGCTTGCCTGTAGGAAATTGCTACTTCAGTGCAGACCAGGAGTTAGAAAAATTCTGGTTAAAAAAAGTGTTTTGCTGCATGAAAGCTTTTGCTCTCAAGGAATAAAATAAAAAAAAACAATAATACTGAGAATATCTGTTCTTATGACATAAATATCTGCAAATAAACACTTAATGTGACTGCAGTTAAGAACTGTCCAGCAGTGAAAATTTTCCCTGTATTAAGTAGAAAAGAATTTTATCAGAGCCTTTTGTTTTTAAAGATGCTCCAGGGGCTACACCCAATGCAGGCTGGCAAGGAGACCTAAGAGCCATTAAATGGAAAGATCAAGAAGGACTCTCACACAAAGGCTGCAAAGGTAACGTGAATTTTGATCATGAACTTAAATTTGATTCACTGAGGAGCATTAATTGGTGATTATGTATTATTTAAACCAGCTATTTAATGTGCCTCAGTGGTCATATATAATTTATTTTGGAAGTATGAAATAAAACAAGGCACCCTATAAATTACTGCACTATATCCAATTAAAGGGATTTTGAGATATATGTTATATTAATATATTAGTTAGGTATTTTATCTATTTTGAGATGAGCACAGTATCCATGCACTGACAACCCTTCTATCAGCCCCTAATTAGCAATGCACTAATTTGACTGATCAGTTCTCAGTGGAGGGGCTTTACCTGGATGTTTGTCAGGTACTTCCATCAACATTGGGTTCAACCCCTTCAATTTGAACAATACAAAAGAACATTGCTGAGCACATGGAAAGCATGCAGAAATAATTAAAATCTCCAAGTGTGCAAGCTGAGCCCAGGTGTGATTGAGCAGGGAATCTCCCAGCAGGAGATGAGAACATCTGATGCCCAAGCACAACATTTTATTAATCAGAGTAACATGGCAAGGAAGCAGCTGGAGGTAACAAACATCTGTTTCCGTAAAACATAAACCCAAACCCTCGTCTTTAGAATATTCTAGCATTATCCTCCAGCTCCATTTCTATGCAGAAATGAAAAGGTGAAAAGCGATTTTTAAAAGAGCTTCCCTTCATGTTCCTGCTGCTGCCACACCTCTCCAATCTGTCCCTGCAGGTCATTATGTCAGAGACATCTGCATTTACGGCCTGGGGGACCTGCAGTGGATTATTGAGTCCCCTCATCTGTTTGCCAACAAGTTTGAGGCTGCTGGGAACCCGCTGGCGCTGGAGTGCCTGGAGAGGCGGCTGCGGCTCAAGGTGCTGCGCCAGGCTCAGGTGCCCATCGAGCAGCACTGGCGCCTGCAGGAGCGCAGCCACTTCAACATGCAGCTGGACGTGTGAGCTCAGCCTTCTCCTCGCAAAGCTGCAGCATCCTGGCACAGAAAAATGACATTTACAGCCATGGGCTTCACTCTGTGCATCGAGGGGAAAGCACAAGCCCGTACTCCCTACATAATCGCGTTTTATTTATTCCGGCAGCGAGGGGTTAATTCCCAAAGAATGTCTGAATCTCTGCTGAAGACAAGGGGGGAAGTTCATAATCCATTAAGTGACTTATTTAGCTGGAAAAGTCAATATTCCTCATGTTCACAGCCAAAGCATGACTAACTGGCATGAAAATAATAAAATGGAAGCAGTGACTGAACAAAGATAAAGTATGAAGAAATAACAAATTAAAGTCATGACCACTGAATGTCTCAGGAAACATTCTGAGTAATGAAGTTGATGCTAAAATTTCTAAAATTGTACGTAAGTGACGAGCAGTTTGTGACACAGCTCATGCCACTGGGGGATGTGGGTTTGTTTTTATTTCCCAGGGCCAGCTGCATCCCTAATTTCATTTTGTAGCATGGCAACATCACTGCGGCCCTTCCCAGGCTTTGCTCCTAATAACAGAAGGATCCTGCAACACGTTTACCCCCAAGTCTCTGCTCTGAGTCTCTGCAGGAGTTTAGGTAAAGGATACAGGGAAAATTTGAAGGCAGGGATTACAGGAAAACTGAACAAAAACCCATTTTTCAAACATTTTTCTCTCCCAGTGTACCTGACTGAGAGAAGCAAAGAGCCTGCAGCAAGTGCAGTAACACCTGGCAGGAATCAGGATGATTCACTTGATTAAAAACTGCAAATTAAAAATTAAATAAACAATTAAAAAAAATTAAAAGGAGCAATTTCAATGTAATCTTCAATATGTACCCAAAACATCCCATTTTTTTAAAGAAAACTGGCTACAGATAGAGCTTATTCCCAAAAAAATCGAACCAACAACAGGACATAAAAGTTTCTTGTTAACTTATTCCCAGGTTGCTGGAACTTTACTCCTCATTTTCCCACACAAGTTTATTGGAAACATCATTTCTTGCAAATGAACTTTCACCTAAAGAAAGGCCATCTGGTCACTATTTATTTACAAACTCAACACAAATGCATGTCCTCAGTTTCATGGATAATCCAGGACTTATCTTGTGGTTAAATATTGCTGGACATACTTTTTTTTTATGGAGGGAAATAAAGCTAAAAAAGAAAAGGAAAATAAAAGCCAGGCACATGTTCACGCTGAGCTTGTTGAGAGTCTCTCTCCAAAACATTACTGAAGCTCATGGGTCTCTGGAATGGATTAATCATAGCAATATTCATAATTAATTTCTCTCCAGTCCACTGTCGGGCAGTGCCAGTGTTTATCCACTCCATGATGTCTTTTAGAACGGGAATGGAACGCTCCTTATTGCCATCATTGCAACAAATCCGGTCTCCAGCCTTCACCCCTGGCACCACCACACAGAACAATTGTGAATCACTTCCAAATTGAATTAAAATGAAAAATTCAACAGCCAGGCACTACACATCATGGACTCCTTTCTCAGAAATTGAACCAGGCCAAAAACCTGCACAAAAAGGCCTCTGAAAATACAGTTTTTGTATGACTTGACCCATGTCAACTTTGCATCCTTTGCTTAAAGGATTTTGTATTTGAAAGAAAATTTTAGGAAAATCATCACTAAACCATTCTGAAGTAGTAAAAAATAACATTCAATTCATTATTGTGATTACCATGACCACATCATCTCCTTGAAACACCCATGAAAATCCTTCATGGATTCTGTGTTATTATGTTAACAGTTAATCAATCACAAGTTTCAGACCTTAGTAAATATTTGTTAATTTTGGTGTCCTAAGAGCAGAAAGGGCCAAAGTGACCCTGGTTCCAGGAACCACTGCTGCACACACAGCTCTGGATCTGACTGTCACAGGCATAAATTCTGTTCCAAAAAGCTTCATATCTAAATTAAACATGGGGTTGTGTTTGATATGGCACAGAGCTAAATAGTTAGGGCACTGCTTCAAGTCTGTGTTTAGTTGACTCTGAAAACAAGTCCAAATCAAACTCTGAAGTGATCCAAGAAAGTACATTTTACATGTAATCTTGTCCTTAACTTTCAAAGTGACTCCCAGAAGGACTTCCAGCACCAATTCCATAACATCTCCACACCACTTCTAGCATATTCAGAGAGTCAGCTCCCAAATTAAAGCATCATTTCTATCAAATAGCAGACTTCAATTAGCAGACACCAAAAACTGCCCATGCAAGAACCTGCAAGCCAGTTGGAACAGAAATTCCACAATACTCGGGCACACCAAAATCCACAGACCTACACTGCTCCCCACAGACTTGGAACCTCCAACATCCCATGGGATACACAAACAGGGAGAAGAGACAGTCTTGCTTGTTCTTTTAATTTTAGGCTGTTGGAGAATTAAACACCTTGCTCCAAAGTGCAAGTTTTAAACTGGCGGATTCCATCACAGGGAATTCCTCCTGAGGAACAGGAGGCAGCAGAGCTGCTGCTACAGATTCCTCATCTGGAAGCGAAGTTATTTCTCTGCCTGCTGACTGAAATGTGACTAAGTCACATTTTAGCATGTGACAGTGTTGAGAGTTTAAATTTTCCCTTCTTACTGATCAAAATTTGGCTCAAGCCAAATCCATTTCTGTGGAAGAATGTATTACAAGATGCATTTGCACTCCTAAGTTGCTCTGTTTCAGACAAAAGCTCTTTTCCAACTCTTTTAAGTCTAAGTAGAAGCTACAAAATTTGTCCCCAGCACTTCATCTGCCAAGCCTGTTCTCCACCTTAAACCAGCACTAAAAAATTCTCACTGCTCTTTCAACAAACCTTTGAAAGCCAAGAAGTTTTATATTTTAGCAAGACAGTTGAAAGCATTTACCCTGCAGGCAGTGAGAGACAATCTCTCTCTCTCTCTCAATGCTGCTCCAGTGGCTGACTGGTCCCTTGGATAAAATTCTATATAACATATTCTAAATAACATTAATTTGAACGTTATTCTTTAAAGTGAACCCTTCAAAGTGCTACTTAAGATGTGAAGAAAGAACAGCTTATTTTCAAGGTAAAGCACTTAAAGAATGGCCTCACACACTAATTACAGTTGCTAATGGGCCCCCACCCCTGACAGAGCCTCTCCCATTCCTGTGCCTTTCCCGGTACCAATCCAGTCTGACTATTCCAGGAAAGCAGGTAAGTGCATGTATTTTATACTGTCAGCTCTTCATCTGAAGTTTCTTTGAGGCAAAAGAAAGAACTCTGAGAGAAAGTTTGGTTCCTCTTCCCTAGACCCCTTCAAACCCAGGACTTTGGCAAGTGCTGTCAAGAAAAACAAAGGAATGCTCAATCCTCCGTCATCCTGGTGTTTCCCATTTCCCTGAATCAGACAGAACCTGCACATGCATCTTGGTTTTTCCTAAACACTTCTTTGGTGACCTGCACACCACTGGGCAAATGGATTTCTCTGTTTCTTGTGAGATGTCACAGTAAAAACTGAGCTCAGAACTGAGCAGTGAGAGGTCTGGATATTCCCTGGGGAGTATTTTCAGTGCATCATTACAGCATCTCTTTCCAAATTCCTGTGGGAAATCACTGCTGGGTACAGGGAGCAGAGTGGGGGCTCACAGGCAAAGGACACACCCAGGACAGAGCTCTCCTGAATCCCACACTTGTGGGGATGGGAATGGCCCAGAGCTCCACACTGACATTTCTCCACTTTGGCAGCCACTGCAGAGCTCTGGGATGAGGTGAAACCACAGATTCTGCTGGCTGAGAACTGAAGAGCCCCAAGACAAGACAGGATCATCCTTTCTGAGCCTTCCTCATGTCACTCTGCAAAGTCACACAGCACACACAGGTGGGATGGCACAGGCCAAACACACAAGGTGGCAAGGTCAGGAAAATGCTGTGGCTCACGGGGGTCTCACAGAGAGGATTTTGCTTCAAAATTATTTTAATTCCTAAAACACAATAATTAGCACCAGCAGAAACACGTTTGAGACAGCCCACAACATTCAAATGTTCTGTACTTTGACATTTTTTGCATTAGCAAAATTAGAGGACTCTATTCATTAATAAAAGATTCCAAGCTGAGCATAGGCAATGCACAATACTTCATTGTTTTCTTCTTCTTCACTCATTTATTTTCCTGTATGTCCCATTGGTGCAGAAATGCAGAATGTGCTGCTAATTAGTGCTTTGGACATAACAAACTGAGATACCACAAAGCACAGCAGCCACTTCCCTCTGCTCCTGTTTAGAAGAGTTCTACTCCCCTTCTTGATTCTGAAGGGGAACAGCATCAGAATGCACCCAAAAATCTGTCAAATCCCTCTGACCTTAATGAGTGTTCTCTCAGCTGGTTACCATTGTCTTGGTGCATCAAAATCCAATCATGACAGGATGAGAGACTAAATATTATATTAATTTAATTATTTCTAGAAGAATCTTTCTGAGTATTGTGAAGAATTTCCAGCTGCATGCTAAATACTCATTACTGACCAAAAAAAATCCAGGGAAATATATGTGGGATTTGTTTGGTTTTTATAAGATTATCAGACTGGCCAAATCATGGACAAAACATCTCATTCCTGCATTTTATGCTTTGGTTACACCCATCCATCAACAAAAATTTAGATGCAAAAAACCCTCATTAAAAATAAATTAGTATCTGCCAAGAGGAAACAAAGCCATTAGGACAGAACAAAATGAGCACTGAAAGGAGCAATATGAGATTAAACCTTACAATATCCAACAATTTACCAAGACAAAAGTTTTTCCTTCCCAGGTCTTCTTTAATATAAATATACTCCACATTAAATATCCAATTTTATCCAGTAGCAGAGTGTTCACAGAAATTAAATAACCACCTAAGCGTGGCAACTCTCACCACAAATCTTGCTGATAATGAAAGCAGTGATAGGAAAAAAAGGGATTTGCTCATTTTATAATTGTCCTTAGCTATAAAAAAAGCCTGTACAAGGAGAACAGCAATGTGAAACAAAGTCAGTATTTTCTACAAGAATTCATGGAACTGCTGAGAATTCTACAAAGGTGGCCCCACACAAAAATTTAAAAAAAGCAACACCCAATGTCCTTCAAAAATACAGGGGTCAAAACATAACCTGAAAATACAACCAGTTTAAACACAGAACAGATGCTGATAAAAACACAAGCCATGTGCATTCAGGAAGATAAAATTACCAATCAAACAAAACCTCCAAAACCAAACCAATCACCCTTTTAGAAACTGAAATTAGTACCAAATACTGGGGGAAAAAAAAGGAGATTCCAAAGTAGTTACTGCAAAATCAAACTGAGAACAAAAATATTCATTTTTGTAATTATTTAGAATCACTTTTTAATAAAGAAAGGCCATGAAGAAAAAGTGAGGCCTTCATAGAACAGAACTTTTACAAGTTTCATTTCAATTTGCATATCCAGATTAAAAACTCCCTTTTGAGAGGAGTGAATGCAGTTGTATAAATACACACATGGCCCAGCTGCTTCTACAGCAGGTAAAACTCACCTTGTGACAAACTTCTGCTTTAATTTCTTTGAGGGCACGCTCAGAGAACACACAGCCACAGTTTCTCAGGAAGCAGAACCTTTAAAGGAAAGACAACACACAGTAATTTTAAATAAACTAAGAGAGATCTGTGCAGTGCTGGCAGGTCACAGCCCACCTTCTCCTCAAGTTTTTGCACCTAATCAAACTATCAGCATATTTAAATAGGTAATTAATTTAGTATTAATGCACACAATGTAAGAATTGAATGAAAAATACTGGGTATATTAAACCACAATAGATATTCTGTTTTTTTATCTTGAGTGTCTCCTGGTTAATCCCTCCCTGCAAGAAGAAATTCTTCACAACCATGAAGCCGTGAACTCCTCCTCCCTCAGGTGCCAAAGAAGTTGCTGCTCTGCCCAACCCAGGCTGTGAGGAAATTCCTTGCCCCAGAGCAATAAAACACAGATGTATTGCAGGGCTGGAACAGAGAATCCATCTCCAGTCTGATCCTAACACAGGCAGAGGTGGAATGGAGCATCTCTCCTATGAGGAAAGGCTGGGAGAGCTGGGATTGCTCAGCCTGGAGAAGCTTTGGGGTGAGCTCATTGAGCCCTGAAGGACCTACAGGAAAGGTGGAGAGAGTTGGGACAAGGGATGGAGGGACAGGACACAGGGAATGGCTCCCAGTGCCAGAGGGCAGGGCTGGATGGGATATTGGGCAGGAATTGTTCCCTGGCAGGGTGGGGAGGGCTGGCTTAGGTGCCCAGAGCAGCTGGGGCTGTTCCTGGATCCCTGGCAGTGCCCAAGGCCGGGCTGGATGGGGCTTGGAGCAGCCTGGGACAGTGGAGCTGTCCCTGCCACGGCAGGGGTGGCACTGGAGGAGCTTTAAGGTCCCTTCCAACCCAAACCAATTCATGATTCCAACTGCTTGATGTGACTGAAAGGGAGGTCACATCCCATCTCCTGTGCTTCAGCCCCCAAACAACATTTAGTCAGTTTTTTTTCCTGCCAATGTTACCTTCTACATCTAAATTTATTCAGGAAAAGGTAAACTTTCATCTTTCCTCTTGACTATAACATGAAAGGACACCCAGAAGCCTCTTCAACTCTGAAAGCTCAAGCTTGAAAGCTGAAAGCCAGACAGGTACTCCCCACCAAGGCCTGGGTTAGCACATGATTTACATTTTGCATTCAGTTTTCCCTGCTCTGAGCCCACTTTTCCAGCCCTGAGCACTGACCTGTGCCTCCCGTTCATCTCCAGCCCCACCACGGGGCAGATGAAGCGTGCAGACTGCAGGTCATCGTACTTGTCCCCCTTGATGCTCTCCTTGTCCCCACACCAGGCTGGGTTATCCACCAGCTGCAGTTCTGTCACATTCTGGAAAATAAAAATGCAGACCTTAAGCTTTTTTTTTTTCCCCATGATAACAATCCTTGGTATTGTTTTCATCATGTTTTGTATTTAAACACTTTGACACACTTTAATCACACTTTTTAACACTTTAATCCAGGGAGCACCAGCAAATGGAGATTTTACAGCATGATCCATGAATTTAACATTTTAACTTCTCATATTAAACACAACATGTTTACCTTAATGCTCTTGATATGGGATGCAGATTCCATGGGGGTTTTATCAGGGGATTTGTCCAACAAATATTCAATGATGGCATCTTTGTTGTACAGCCTGAAACATAAAAATCCAAGTGATTACATTGGGTTGCCATCATGTTTTGTATTTATAATTTATTTTTACTCCTGAGGTGTCCATGGAAACGTTCCCACCTGCCCAGCTCACAGGCCACGATGGGCCGACACAGCTTCTCCTGGCTCAGGGCACAGTAGAACC